TTCGAGTACAGTTGTGTCCGGAGTTTCTAAATCAATCAAAAAATCGCATTGTTCGATATCAACATATCTAAAAATACAGATTTAACATCTTTTTTGAAGTGCTGCAGATTTATCAAAATTCTATTTTGTAATATGCTATGTTAATATGGAAAAACTTTGATAGAACTGTAGTTTATCATGAAAAATTATGATATGTAAGTTGAAAGCAGATATACAAAGAAGCTAACGATAACAGAGAGCAAATCATTTTTCGAATATTATTGCTTGCCATTATATAGCACCAGCTAACTCACAAGCGATATTATCGATTCAACAATGCTTATAGATCTTAAGTGAAAAAAATCTTTTAAAATATAAATCTGAAAATAACTTGGAAATTTCTACCAAGAGTGCAGAATACTAACCGACTAACTTCTTCCCGATTAAGATCATTCATCCCTGTTGGTATAGCACGTGTAACTTCGGGCAAAGAACCTTTCATATATGGTTTTGGCAGCAAACCCGCAAATTCGCTTTTTATAAAGTTCAATTCCGCAATCAACACTTGATTTTTGCTGTTTTTTATACCGGATGGTAGAAAGAAAGAAGATGGAAATCGATACCATTCCTTACCGACACAAAGATGTATCACCGTGCTATTCTAAAAGCGTGACGCTATTTATCATTATCGCAATTGAGCTTATAGCAAATGACTGATTCGAAAATAATCATAATAAATATTGTCAAATTTATTTTTAAAGGATTTCGTTATTCGATTACCACTAGCTTTGCTTATCAGAAATTTTTGACATCTACATAAAAATAGATATTCCATATTCAAATATTTGAATATTTGGTATTTTCAACAGTGAAAACTTCATTAATTAATCACAAACTCACATCATCAGCACTATATATTTCGCTGCGATTACTATAATTGAGCATATGTTCACTAAGTACTTTGTATACTTCCACTGGTGAGAAAAAATTCCGATAAAGAGCGGCTGATCGGGAAACAGATAGTATCGAAAAAATCAACAGCCATCCAATAACGGATGCCTGCCAAAAGCATCGTGATTTTCCGCCGAATAGGTAAATGCCAACCCCAAAACAATCAATAAATGAAAATTATTTAGAAAGGATTTGAAGAAAAAGAAATAGGAAGGACAAAAAAAGAGATTCTAAGCAAAATATTAAAAACTCACCGAGGTAAAGCATCAAGTGTGATAGCAGCCAAAATAGCTAGAAGAGGATAAACAGGAAACAAAAACCGTTCTTCTTTATGAGGTTGCCAAAAAAATATTGCGAACCACAGTACAACTGATAGGAAAATGAAAAGGATCGGTAAGAAACGCCTCCAATAAACCAAAGATATTTCTATAAAAATTCATTTTAACTTAATTCAAAGTTTGTCTAAAAAAATGTCTTTTTCAGACAAATTTGAAGAAATAATGGCGCAGTAGCAACGAAACTTTAAATATTATAGCCAGTTGAAAATACATTGATCCCATACAGTCCCACTAGTTCAACAGAAATGTAGATTTATATCAGTAAAAGTAGTAATAAAAAAAGAAATAAATTATTATAATAGAAATCATTGAAATGACCTCGAGTTATGGAATGTACTAATTGCCGAGATGAACGTGTCCAAACATATGCTAATCCTGCAAACGGTATTGCAAACGGGAACAAGATAATAACAACGTTCCAATTAAGCAATAAATTTTTGATGTAAAATTTCACATCTTCAACGCCATAAAGATTTGGCCCATGTGACGAAAATACATTGTACAGAACAATGTTCAGCGGAGCCTGAAAACGATGCAAAAAATAGTCACAAAATGTTCAGTATTTTTTGAAATACCTCAAGGATGGATGATTTTCAAGAGAGCTTTGAAAATCACATATGTGAAAGTAAAATAAATTTTTTGAAACGCTGTTAGCAGTGTATTCAGTTATGTACAGCACAGACCGAAAAATCCATGTATTGTAAATAATCATTTTTAGTGAAAACAGGTCAAGAGACTAAAACAGCAACAATGAATTAAATAAATTTATAAAATATACTTTTTTGTTAAATAAGAATCCTAATCGAATCCTCTAAAAATCTCAAAATTAAACTTGCCAGGACGATTTTGCCGAAGTAATACGAATCAACAACAATCAATACTATGGTAATGGCAGAACCAGAAATCAATGCATAACTGCAAAAAGTAGAAGCTAATTCACGAGGTCGAACAATTAGCATTTCAAGCACGATTGGTAAACCAAGTATGGCTGCAAACGGCCAACTAATCAATGCACTCAAAGTGGTAAACGATATCGCTATGGACCTGGAAACAGAAATTTGCTTATTTTGCGGAAATACAGAAATTATGCAATACATCAAGTAACGTACTATCTCGACGATGCACCACAGTTTTAACTCTCAGAATTGTCATGATATTAAAACTGATTCGAGAATTCGAAGTTGTTATATCTTACAATAACTCCAGATTCAGATATACTTACTGCTGATATACTTACGTATTCCTCGACAGATCAATAAAAAGAGAATACAGGTTCGAATTAAACTTATGCTAGGCTACAATTCATAAATTCAGCTTCCGAAACACATTCAAATTTTTCTTTTTGCGAAACAAATAGCAAAACTAAATGATAAGGAACCATTCTTCAGTGATGTATGCTGCGATAGCGATCAAATTTGCTGACATACTGAATGATGATGGAAGAAATGCGCAACTGAAATGACATATTTTTCAACCAACTGTCGTTCATTACACGATGTATGATTCAAATGAAGCTAAATGAACTTAAAATTTCGCATTTGTAATCATTGAAGCTTTCGGAATAGCAAAATCAGAGAAATAATTTGAAAAGGCTCACTCTATATAAATAGCTAACATTAGATCCAACTATATATCTATTAAATCTCGAAGATTATTCTGCAGTAAGAGTAATAAATATATAATAAGAAGCTGTATGTGATTTATTTTAGCTTTAACATTAAAAGGAAAACTCTGTTTGTGTTTCATTCTCATAATTTCTATAATTTCAAACAGTATAAAACATAATTATATTTGAAAGATGAAACTGCTATAAGAAAAACCACCAAAAAAAACAATCGAAAAAAATCAGAACTTCTTGATAAGCATTACAAAGAGTATGAAACCTTGCGACAAACATTCCAGATGAAAGTGATGTTAACAAAACGTATATCCTAGCAATACCGTTCCCGAACCGTGAGCAGAGTGCTCGATACATTTTTATTTCAGCACCTACGTTGAACAATCCCAGTAAACAACGCATTGTAATGAAAACGCTTGTTTTGTTAGCGAAAAATATCTTTTTCAGTATTGCAGCGGGTCCGTAATGCATTAATATGTATAAATAAGATCTGGAATTTGAATTTTTTTTAAAAAAAAATTTTGAACAAATTTTCTTTTCTCAGTGCAAACAAATAGTGAAAGCTATTTGAAAAAGAAAAGAAAGTAACGATAATCACTAATAATCTTAATTATGGAGGTGATAGTTAAAACAATTTTAACATTTACCACATTATCAGCGCTGGACCTCGAAGATAATCAGAAATACAACCCGGACAGCTAATTGTCATTTGACATTGTGACGCTTAATCTCGGATTATGATAGAACATATTTCAAAAATATTGAGATTCTGATGCTATACTACACTCTGTTGGCTTCAGTTGAGAAAAAAGCGATAGCCTGATGCTCCAAAGACATGAACTGATAATAATCAGTTCCATAATTACTGCATATATATTAGTATCGAAGAAATGTGAAATAGCATTACTGGCCGTTTCCGGTAACGCAATATTATTCAAGCCTTTGCATTTTGTTCTTGACACATAGCTGTATTACCAATAATGGATAATAAATTTCAAAGCAGAAAAAAGAAACGGCTATTAACGGCTCTCATCTATAAACATGTAATGCGATACTCTGGATTATTGGAATATGATACCAGAAATGAATCTGTTAATCTGAATGCAAGAACAAACCGTATAGCATAAAGTGGTGAGTATTCCCACGTCTGAAAACCGGTGCCGTAAAGAAATAAATGAAGAGGCTCCCAGTAATTGTATACTTCATCGCAATCGCTTATTATACTCCACATTGCAGCGGAAATTCGAAAGGAGAATATAATCTGGAAAAGGAATTTTCCCGTTCCTTAAGTCATATTTGTAATAATTAGTACGAGAATAGAAAATTTTTTAGTGATTAAATCAATTTGACGTTGGGATAATAAAGAACAATCAGAGGGTCGACTGATCGGTATATAAAAAAAGGATTTTCCCATGAATGTGGGAAAAATATCACAGGGATAAATGAGAAGTGTGAGTGATGTAATGGGATTCGACAAAGTAAGCTCATAAATGTAACTCATTAAATCATATAATATTCTATTCGTTCTACTATTTAATAAGCTGTACCGATTAATTTTGTGAACAAAAAAGAAAGTGAACAAAAAATTCAAGAAAAAATTTTTTAATTCAAAAAGCCGAAGTTTTAAAAATCGCAAAAAAAATGTAGAAAAAATTTCAAAATATAAAGACAAACTCTTTACTCTTTAAAAAATAATCACGCTTTTTTAACTCTTAAAAATTTGATTTCTCTTGAAAGTTGTAATAAAAAAAAAAACCTATTCCAACAGTATTTTTTTTGCAATTTTTCAAAATTTGAAAATTTATCTAAAAACCTTAAAAACTGTCGAAACCGATGGCTGCCATTCCAAATCCATTTGTCCTCCGGGTATGTAAAGTTTAGAAAATGAATCCAATGCTGGATAATTCCATAGTACATTAGCCTGTAATGGTGATAGTGCTGATGGCTGTTCATCGTTCGTTTGATTATCTGTTGGCGATAGATGTGATCGTATTATTAGCCGATTCGATGTCCGCTTTACCAATGATGGATTCTTCCTTGTCATAATACTATAATTACATAAATCACAAAAATATATCCTTCTGATAGATTGCTACAACTCATAACAGAATCTTAACAAAAAAGCGAATAAAACGGTAAACGGAATATTGTCTCTGATCAAAATTAAAATGTAATCCTTGAAGAGAGAATTTTATTATTGTTACTATTTCTGTTTTCTTACTAATTACAAATTGTTTTCCAATGAAATTTTCGATAAGTTTTAGAAAAAAAAATTTGTCTGAATATATTTTGATAATTTTGTGATTTCATTAATTTTTTCTTTGCCAAATGTTTAAAATGTTATCCAGAAAAAAGCTCAGGAAGAATTCCGAAAAAAAAAATCAACATCTTCGGGAAGAATTAAAAAGTTACAAAAAGAAAGAAGAAAAAATCCCTGAACAACAAAGTAACTAACGAAGGGATGAGGCTGTTGCACAAATCATCCGTTATGAATGACATTCCGTTAGAATGGGAAGAGGGATGTTGTGGTGTGGTAATTGCTGATGTATGTGAGGTGGTGATGGTGGCGTAAGGTCAAAGGTAAGTTGGAGTTGAGATGTCGCTGTTTTAGATTGAAAGGTTATGTGGAAACTTTGAAATTCAATAAAACAGAATTTTGGTTGATGGCATTAAAAATTGCTCTAAAGTTGTTTGTTGCGAATATCGTTAAAAATGTTGGCGAAATACAAAATTAATGAAAGATCTTTTTTCTAAATAAATTTTTGCAGATTTTAATAGAATTGCACAAAGTCCTGATAATTTTAACGATGGTGTGGTGCATATGTAATGTTTTATTATGATTCGTAGGATATTATTATTATTCGAAATTAAAATCACAATCTAAATTCGTTTTAGCATTTTCATCTTATCAAAAAGAGAGATCTTTTGTGTTCAACTGGATAAATGAACTCTGTTGCAAATTTAATTTGCCACTGTTCAGACGTTTTTCATATATTTTGGAAATAACTTTAAAAGAATTGTGAGTTAACTGTTTCAGTAATATAAGTGCAGTATTTGACTAGTCCAAGTACATTGCTAAAGATTTCAGTTGGTGTATTTGTACTAAAAATTTTAGAATAAATTTACCAGAATTTTATTAGGAATAACTTACAGAAAATTAAATTTTAATCTTCAGAGAAATCATTTTGGCATATCTTTCAAGTTATATACATTTCTATAGATTAATGAATAAACTGATTATAATGTACATACATTATTTAAATTTACGATTGATTACAGAACGTGATTTTTGGAAATGGGTGAGGAGCAATCAACCAATAATCCGAGTGGCATTTTTGATTCAGTAAAAGTATGCATTCATTTTATGAAAGATTCAAAAAGCAATTATTTGCGAAAAAGTATTTCGCTGACGTAGCTCTTTTTTTTAAAATTTTGATATATTTTTAATGCGATAGTACAGACTGAAATTTTCATTAGCGTACATTATATAGTCCATCTATAGCTGTCCGTGCTTTTGAGTTCTATTTTATGTTATTTAGAAATCTACTTGACTGGTATTTTTGAAACTTCGTTTTATGACATGCTTTTTTAATAGAATTTTTAAGTCAAAGAATTACAGATTCTATTACCAGTGCTGTATGTAGTAATCATGTAATATGATTTTATTACATGATTACTACAGTTGTTCTTCACTTTTATGGCTTTCATAACTTTAGGTTTTAAATCGTTACTACATGATAATGTAATTCTATGTTTGATGTTATTAAATCTTCAGAGTGTCTACTTAATTAGCTCTAATTATAGTTGTTCTTCAGGATGTGAAATTATGTGCAGTTCGAGCTGTTGGTGAGGCAAATGCTTTACCAATGCGCAGTGAAGGTTATGAATTATACGCAAGCTTTCCGGTGTATGCCAATCTTATGATGGAACAGCAAGAAAGGATTATTGTTATGTAACGTGTATATATATATATATGTATATCGTTCATATTTTTAAGAATTCAGCTTTTATTTTTTACTGTCTGCAACTGAGTTTTTCAGGTTACGTGACGTATTGCGGAATGCTGGTTGTAGAATTCCCATACCAACAAGGATTGACGATCTCGATGAATTCCTAGATCGAATCGTTGAGGCAAACGATAGCATCTGCGAAAGAGCCGTGTGCTGTTTATCAATTATATAAAGAACTATAAAATTCTTGCTAGTCCTTAAATCAGTTATCTGTTTGATTTGCAGGGTATCCTACTGGATTTGCTGCAAAAAGCTAGACGTATGGAAGAAGTGGTTGTGCCACAGCAAGTTCTAGATGCAGAAAGTACGGTTGCATCTGAGCAAACACTATTCGAGAGACAGGGACGTTACGCTGTACTTTTGCAGCGTTTACGTGGAAATAAGGACAAACCGTTGTCATCAACAGCTGTTACTGCCGTCCCTTTGCTGGTAAATTTAATATCGAAAATTGAAATAGAAAGCTGATTTAGGTGGATATTTTAAATAGTTTGCATATAAGTTGTATTTTTTTAATAACTATATGCGCAGTTGTAATTTCTGATCATAAATTATATGACACATATTTCAAAAAAAAAAAAAAATTCATAAACAGACAGACTTCTTTGTGCATTTATTTGCAATCTGAAAAGCTGAAATAGTACTATATTTATGGTTTTGTGTTGTCTGCGTGGTACGATAATTTCATGCACGAGAAAGATTTCGTATCTTTGAGACTTGCAGATTTTGTTTCCGGAATTTTAGTGACTTTTTGAAGCAATCTTTTTGGCAAAAAAAAAACTGAATATTTGTAGACGTCGAGAGAGAAACCACAGATTGTTTTTGGGATTGAGGTCGATAATAGCTTTGCGGAATTTAAACCAAAGTTAGTAGAAAAGCATCACGCTATGGAAAATATGTTAACGAATATGCAAATTGTTGATAATGACGATATCAATAGAGCTACGTGGCTCAACGATCAAGAAATGAGCTTACATCCTTATGACAAAGAACTGAAACACTTTAAGGTATGATATTTTTAATTTTTATAATGGTTTATTCGTACTCCAAGGCACTTTTTTGTTTAAGTCTCATATTTCTTGTGACCATCAAGTTTGTTAATTTCCTTTGATAGCTCAAAATTTCCTGTTTTTCTTTTCAGATTCCTGCTAGGCAGTTAACTGTCGGAATAGTTGAACCGCTAAAAACACTGTCAGACACTGAATTGATATATATTGATATGGTAGAGAAATTAAGAAGTTTGCGAGATACTTTGAACAAGGAGCGAGAATTTAGTGTAGATCTTGAGGTACCAGTTTTCTTATTACTGTCTTCATAATAAGTTGTATTGATGAATCGTATATATCAAAAATGGTTTATTCATTTTTCAAGAGGCTCCATTATTTCATTTAAGAAATTTATAGTTGTATGTCTGAAAATTTTATTTATCATTTTCTACTTTTTTGATCTCGTAAACAACATTTTTGACATTTTATAGCATAATGCGCAGCGCTCGTTCCTTGGATTAACTTGTCTGATGCAAATTTCAACACGTCAAGTGGATTATATCATTGATCCTTTTCCGTTGTGGAATGAAATGCATATTCTAAATGAACCCTTTACTGATCCAAACATACTAAAGGTATTTAATTCAAAATAGAAAATTTTGAAAGTTCTGCTTTTAATACCATCTCAGAAACAAAGTCAAATATAAATTCAATTTTATGGGTCAGATTGTTGAAGCTTCTGAGGCTAATAGTGCTTAAGTGCTTTTAACAGAATGGCTGACCTTCATTAGACGAAAATGCAGTTATTTTGTCTAATCATTCCTCACATTATTTAAATGTGCGAGAAAGATCATTCATTTTCCAGGTTTTTCACGGGGCAGATTCGGATATTATTTGGTTACAGCGAGATTTTGGCATTTATGTTGTTAATATGTTTGACACCTATAAAGCAATGAGAGTGCTTAATTATTCTAAATTTTCTTATCAGCATTTGGTTCAAACTTGTTGCAATCATACTTTGGACAAGAAATTCCAAAAAGCTGATTGGCGTCTAAGGTAGAATTTCTTTCCAGTTAACGAATTCGTTAGGTTTTTCATTCATGATTCTCAGTTAATTATCTGCGCAATTTCTGAAAATGTTGCATTTATTTAATAGGAAAGCTGGAGAATTGTTTATTCAATAAAACTTGGTTCTCATTTCAGACCACTTACTATTGCTCATAAAACTTACGCCAGAAATGACACTCATTATTTGTTACATTGCTATGATCAACTCCGTAAAAAACTTCTCGATCAGGGGAAAAATCTTCTTGAATTTGTTTACAGTGAATCCGTTCAAACATGCCTTACTGTGAGTATATCTGTTTTTTTTCCTTTTTCTAAAGATTGATTTGGCGAATGATTAATATCGAGTAGAGTGCGTGTTTTGCTGGTAATATTTATTTATGTTATATAAAATGAAAGCTGATGGCCGCCTTCTGCATTAGATACGTTTATGACATTACTGTCTTCATATTTTAAAAAGTTCGATATTATTTTAGCTCTACCTTATATTTTTCATTGTCACTTTTTGGATTAGTTCTAGATTTTAATTTTTTTTGCTGCTCAAAGGTTTATAAAAAGCCGACGTTTGAAAATGATGGATATGAAAAATTGTTAGTGGGAAGGAAGCCTTTGAATTCTCGTCAACAGTTTGCTTTAGCGGCTTTGTGGAAATGGCGTGATGATCGTGCAAGAGCAGATGACGAAAGCCCGCAGTATGTCCTGCCGTGTCACATGATGCTACAAATTGCCGAGGTTTCTTGGTTATTTCATTTTTCTATCATTAATCTCTCCCTGTTAATAAAAGAAAAATGTAAATTCGTGATATATATCTTTTTTAATAAACGAATTTTTTAAATAATATTTTTGTTTCACTTGTAAAAAAGCATTTTTGGATAGTAATTCATTCTCATTATTACCAGGTACTTCCTCGGGAAATGCAAGGCATTCTGGCATGCTGTAGCCCCGTTCCTGTGCATGTTAAACAAGAATTGCATGTTTTACATCAAATCATTAATACATCACGTGATCAGCCACTTGTAAAGCGTTCGATTTATGCACCAGATATTGGTTCATTAACTTTGGAAGGTGGGACATCGCAGTTGAATAAAATGAATGCAGTTAAAGCAATGTTGAGGTTGGCGTGAAAATGATAAAAAATTATCACTTAGAAAAATATACTCTAAATTTTTTAATGTTTTAAATGAATGATGAATGAGACATCATCATAACCTACAACGATGTTATGAAGAGGCACTTAAATTAATTTCTATTGTAAATTGTGGATTTTGACATCAAGTTTTATTTAGTATTTTTTTTAGATATTTGTCTTTTTACTTGTTCTGGCTTACATTTTATTTATATGGAAATTTATCAATCCTTCTGTTTTACTTTTCCAGATGTCACTTGGATTTTTCATCAACCAAGTATAATGAAGAAATTCGCGATATTATCACACAGGAGGTTGACAAAGCGATATGTGAGGATGGCGCGGTAGCAGGTAGTGGTAATAGTTTGCTTTCCACAGAACTTTATACAATTGGTGAAGATAATAAAAAGGAAAGTGAACGCTTAAATAAAGTCATGAAGAAATTAGAAGACTGGGCAACGCCCTATGAATGCTATCGGATTGCTATGATTGAACGAAGTTCGAAGGCAAAAGGAGAGGTATTATTGCATTAACGTTCTCAAAATTATTCAAAGCTTATTTTCTAATGCCTAATCAAAGAAGTAAATTGTTAATACAATTTCTATGATAGTACTTCCGGTAAAGTATTCCCAGCAAAGAAAAATTTTTGAAGATAATTTCACTTGCAGAAGTTAAATTTTTATAGACTTTTCAAATAAAATATCATCAGAAAACCCATCACAAGCATGTCAGAGGTGATTTTATTACAGAGCAAAGAAAAGGAGAAAGATGCAGTAAAAAGTGAGCAAAATACATCAGAGGAGAAGAAATTATGGTCGCATCTCGATTCGGCTACAAATAAAATTGGATTTACTGAACAGAAAGTGCTTTTTTGCTTGCTTGTCTTTTAAAAATTCTTTGCGCTTATTTTTACACTCGCTCTTTTCCTTTAATTCTTCACATTTGTCAGTTCTAAAGATGAGTTTCTCTCTAATATTATTTTTTGTTGGTTCAGTGCTGTTTATTTAAAGCGAAGAAGAATTAGTGAAAAGAAACGAAAAATATGGCTAGGATGACATTTCGTTTTAAAATTCTTTTTTCCCACTTGTTTTTTGAAAGATATATTGATCAGTATGGATTACATTGTAGGTAGCAGCAAGTGAACTGCAAATGGAAAGTGAGCAGAGAAAAAACGCTGAGGGAGAGATCTACGAGGAAATGACTTTAACAAAAAAACAATTAAAGAAAAGGCGAAAACGAGTACAATTTTTAGTTGCATTTTGTTCATTGTCAGTTTGCTCCATTTTCCACGTGGATTTTAAAGTACAATTAAGTTTTCAAACAAATATTTAGAGGGAAATTTTTGATGGGAGTACAAATATTTAAAGGGAAAAAAAGTTTTTTCTTGATGCAGGAAGCGGGTGAAATCAGTATCGCGACGGAGGCGGGTGAAATACGAAAAGATGGTACAGATATGATAAAGAAGCGAGGTCGAAAAAGTAACTGGACTGATGCATTGGAGAAATGTGAACAACGAATTGATTACAGTACTTTTGGTCCTGACATCTTCAATAGTAAATTTTCACTCGTTTGATATATTGAATTTTATAATTCCAGATATAATTGAATTGTTTATTTTTGAAAGAAAATGTTTCTGCTGAATTATGAAAATGAGAAGTTGAAATTTCCAATAACATTCATATTTTTTATTTAGAGAGGGATGAATGGTGTGACTCTTTTTCAGTTTATGAGCGACTTTTTTATGTAATATATTTATAGAAAGTGTTGTACCGACATCTGACTCGTATGTTCCATTTAAAGAATGGAAACATGGAAAATCGAAATCTCATCGTGGCCGCCGAATGATGCAAAGAGGACGAAAGCTATAAGAGGGACAGATAAAGCGATTTTTTCTCTCCATAATTACTAACTGTTATAATTCCTTTTATTTGTCTATAAAAGAAGGTGCCCACCAGTAAGAAATTATCAATCATCACAGTATTCATTCCAATGAATTATACTTTCATTACAAGGTGTAATATTTTCGGATTACCTAAGGTTAATTAAGTTGGTCAATTTATGTTTTAGAAAGAATGAATGAAATGTACCGGTTGAGTACTGGGAAAACCACGCTAGATATGTTATGTTCTCAGCACTTGGAAAAATTTTTGAAATTTTAAGACGAGTAAAAGTAAACGAGTAAAAGTTACAGGGTCTTCGTTTCTCATTATTCGAATGTTTTTATTGTTAATCATTACTTCT